CCCCCCCCTGACTTTAAAGCTGGATCCGCCTCTGCGGGTAACGTTCTATAGGAAATCATGGTTTTTTTGCCTTTGCAGATTATGGATGCCGCTACTGATAACAAGGAGCAGGAGTTTAGGAACGCGCAAATCCACATTGTGGGGGGCAAAACGGCCGCCCCCAGTATTTTCATTAATAACTCGCAAAACTACTACTTAAGGTTGAGGTTCTTCGGATTGGAATCGGCCTGGACGGGCGATATTCCTTTAAGGGAACATGCCACAGGTATGCGCTTGACTGGGAACTGCAGTTTTTTGACGAAGCTTTTTAGGTTCCCAGCCCTGGTTGGTGAAGGTTCCCCTGCAGGAAAGAGGACAGTTCCTCTCGATCTGGTGCCGCATTTGCATCCAGAATTTCGGCAAGTCGAAGAGGATACTGGCAATGTTGTGGCCGCTGTTTATGGTGAAGTCCAACCTGCCCATGAGCGTCAAGGTGTTGCGGTTTGAGCCAATTTTCCGAAAATTTCACTAATTTTAATGCATTCAGGTTCATATGGAAACTCCCACGTTAGGCGTGCATTTGGATTCTGTAGTAAACGGCAAAGGCGAACTGCAACAGCTCTATTGTCCTGGAACTGTTGATCATTCGCATCAAATTACTTTTCAACTGGACGAAGGTATTTAGGTGTGTTGACGCCCAAAGGGTTACGGAAAACGGTTTGTTCTTGCAGGAAATCCCAGCATGAATGACCCGTACATTCCACTTAACTACACCCTGGTGGACAAGGAGTTCTTCACAAAGTCCTCCATGGAGGAGATTGAGGTGATTCTGGAATCTTTGAATCATTGCTTCGAGTCCAAGTGGCCGTATTTTGAGGACGAACTGGAACACATCGAGTGGGTGATGGGTTTTAGTCAACCGTTCACTCATGTGCAAGTCAGGTAGTGTTTAAAGCGATTGATCCTCTCTACTGTTATTGAATTGAAAGTGTTTCTGTAAATCCAAGGTATCAAAATGCCTGTCCCTACTCCTGTGCCCTTTTAGTGGAAGTGTTGCCTTGGTCCTTGATTGCGAACTGTCTGGGTACTCCGGTGTCTTTGATGTTGAAGGGCGTCGAGCTTTGCAGTGTTCAGCATCACGCGATTATTGCACCCCCACGGTACTTTTCTGTGCAGTATTTTCAGGTTTGCTAAGCTAACATTTCTGATGTAGGTTGGAGGATAACTTCCACTTGGGCATATTCACCGGCGGCACCTGGTTCTTTTCCGGCCCTTTGCAGCTGGCCAAGAGCGACTGGAGCCAGAGCTTTTACATGCCGAAAATTACAGGTGATTTGACGGGTTTTTTCGCATTTAGACGGCGGGAATATTTTTATTCTGGCGGTTTTCAGGTACCATTCCCTTGGAAGGGACTATTAGGACGTGCATTAAATGCGACTTGGATTTATGCATCATTTCCCTCACTAGTTCAGTAAGGAACAACATTCGATTGCTCCGCTTCGCTTCCACCCACGTTTTGTCCAATTACTTAAGCACCCAAGTGCAAGTGATGTGTTTTGCTGTGCCCGATGCACAGAAGGTGTGGGATTTTCCAAAGCTGGCAGAAAGTCACTGTTTTTCCATTGCGCCCCATTCCGGCAAAAGGTTAGTTGTTAGGGCCGAACTTGCCATTGAGTTACCCCGGTTTAATTGCAGCTGCTCCGGAATCCCGATCAGACAATGGTTCATGTTAAATAGAGAAACCAGCTCGGACTACTTGCTTTACATCGCCTTTTCCATTGATCCAGCGCTCGGTTGGTCTTGTCCCATTCGGGTCGACAAGCCCTTAGTTCGAATGGCTTTTTCCGTGCAGGCTAAGGATTTGTCGGTGAGTGTTTTGAATTTGGCCATTTATTTCTGTCTTGAGTACATATGAGCGAGAAATGAGCAAAAACGGGACGGAAAACATGAAATTTTGGCATAATCTTGCACCTAAGTGTCTGATATTCAATTTCGCTTTCTGGGTCAAAACTACTCGAATTTCCTCACTAACGTTGTTACGACTGAATCGACTTTTAAATTCTCTATCCAACGATGCCAAAACGAATTATGTGGCTCGAATGGTTCTTGAGAAACTTCGAAGAAAGCAGCGTCATGTTCAAGTGGATTTTGTAACTAAAAAAAAACCACGCAAATTTGAAACTTCTTGAATTCAAGCATTTTTTGAGAAAACTGCCAACATTTCCCCATCCATGGTTCACTTTTTAAAAAGGCCATTTATTTCTCTCTAGAAT